TGAGCTGTTGAGATTACAGGTGTGCACCACCATGCCTGGCTCCTTTAACTTTCTTTTATCAAACAGTTAAGATTGTGAAGCTTTGTCAGGCATAGTGGCCCAGGTCTGTAATCCCTGCACCTCTGGAGGCTGCGGCAGGAGGATTGAAAGTTTAAAGCCAGCCTCAGCAAAAGTGAAGCACTAAGCAACTCAGTGGGACCCTGTCTCTAAATCAAGAACAAAYGGCTGGGGATGTGGCTCAGTGGTTGAATGCCCTTGAGTTTAATCTCCAGTACTAAAAAAAAAAAAAAAAGATTATGAAGCTTAAGTGTACAACTTGATAAGTTTTAAAATTTGTGAATCTAATAATAATAGATAACAGATTAAAAATAATAGAACATTTCCAGTACCTAAGAAGGCTCCTTGCATCTGCCCAGCCACCTTTCTCTCATGAAAGAACTACAATCCTGATTTGTTTTGCAGAGTTTTAAGTTTTATATATATAAAGCCATCTGATATGTATGTATAAATCAGATAGCATGTACTTTTTATATCTGATACTTGTGTATTTTATCTGTATTGTGTGTAGCAGAAGCTCGTTTTCATTGCTGTATTGTTAGCATATGCTACAATTTATCATTTTTACTGTTGATTGACACAGAGATTGTTTCCTATTGGAGGCTATCATGGGTATCCTTGTAGGTGCCTTTTCATGTGAAAATACATTAATATCTGGAATTGTTGCATCATAGGATATATGTGTGTTCATTARTAGTCATATTTGTTTTGAACTTCTAAATAATTATTTTTGTGTTCTTCTTTTGCAGTGTGCCTGAGAATACAGATCAACCCACAGAACAAAGCAGATTTCCAAGGCATCTCCCCAGAGCGAGCCTTTGCTGATTTTCTCTTTGCCAGCACTATCCTGCACCTTGTTGTCATGAACTTTGTGGGCTGAATATTTCCCAGTTACTTAATTGAGGAGWAGGAGACTGAAGTAATGTAAGTGATAATCATAGTCCTTGCCTGTCATGTAGATTTTGGGAAGAGAAATTAGATGGGTCTGGTTTGATCATAATTATCAGGGTTCCTGTATTGCTGCTGAGAGGTTTACAGAATTTTGAGGTGGTCTTTAAAGTATGCATTAATATGGATCTTTCACTGCTATTGCTCTGGGTCATTGTCTCATTATTTTATATATCCTTAAGATAACAGAAGATAAGTGTTGCCTATAGTTAATTTATTAATTTCTACACCAATAACTATGAAAATAGCTCATTTTTTAAGAAACACAAATTATAGATTTTGCCTTTGGATTTTTTTTTTTTTTTTGGTATTGAGGATTAAACTAGGGGTGCTCTGCCACTGAGCTGCAACCTCCAGCCCTTTTGAGACAGGATCTTACTAAATTGCCCATTCTAGCCTCAAATTTAGCATCCTCCTGCCTCAGCCTCCTGAGTTTCTGGGATTACAGGCATGTGCCACTGTGCATGGCTGGATTGGCTCTTAAATTTTTTTCTGATTTGCATCTCAAATGACTTAAAAGTCTGGGCTGTTGTTCTCATAATATCCAGTATGGCACTTATACTTGAAGCCATATGTTGTAGGTTGAATGAATGACTGTAGCCCTTTGCTAATGTGTGTCCTAAGCTGAAATTAAAGGGGAAATTGGATTAACTTAGGAAAAGACTTGTGTGATGCCATTTAGTTCATTTACCATTTTCCTTGGTTTAGCATGAAGCTCTCTTGCCCCACCCAGACAAGCTCATATATAGAATTCTGATAGAAAACTGGAGTGTAAGTAGAACTGTGTTGATTGATAGAAATCAAAAAGCTCTCTCTGGGGCTGGGGATGTAGCTCAGTTGGCCCTGGGTTCAATCCCCAGCATCACCAAAAAAAAAAAAAAAAAAAAAAAAATTCTCTTTGGCCTCTCCTTCCCTGCCAATCAAAACTCTAAAGGTTAATAAGTTCATGGATGTTTTCCAAATTGTATATTGACTTTATATATGAGAAAACAGAGGTTCAGAACAATCCAGTAGCCTTCCCCAGCCACATAACCTGGTTGTGGAGAAGTGCCTTTGTCCATTGGTACTCTTGGCCCAGTGTTCATGCAGCTTACTGATGAATGCATACACTCTTTGCCTTTACTGTACAATTTTTTTTAACATTTATTTTTTTGTAGTTGGACACAATAACTTTATTTTATTTATTTATTTTTATGTGGTGTTGAGGATCGAACCCAGGGCCTTGCATGTGTGAGGCAAGCGCTCTACCACTGAGCCATAACCCCAGCCTCATACTCTACAAAATTTAATGCTGCTGTTACCAGTTGATAAAGAAAAGAGAACCTTAGGAAATATTACCGATTTGGGGGAAAAACATTCCAGGATCAACCTCTTTATCACAACTTGGAAAGCTACAATTTTTGTACTAGTCAGGGGAAATCTAATATAAGAGTTAGAGCAAACGTGTAAAGTGCATGCAATGACAGTGACTATACTTTATTTTCTGGCATGAATTAATGAGTTACTAATAATGTTACAAAAATCCTTTCCTTTGAAATTKCCTCAAAAATAGTTATGTTACAGTTTGTTTAAGATTTCATTTTTGATAGTGCTAAATTGGCAGAGRTAGTTTATTCCATTCAAAAAAATTTGAGAACCACTTTATTCTACTATCCTAAGAGTTTCACTCATTGGAGACCTGATTAAGACTTGAGTTTGTCCTACTTCTACCTGCCCCTCCCTTTTTCCCTCCCTATTTGCCAGTCAGTGCCTTGTTACTAGGAATATAAAGAGAAGTAATCTGTGGCTTCTGCCCTCAAAAGTGAATAATCTAGTGGAGGAGGAGACATGTAAACATAACAGTTGAAATACAACATGGTTRGAGTCTTACCAGAGTTTTGAGCAGAGTGCTGTGAGAGACTGAGWAGGGAGTTACTGTGCCGTCTGGAGCAGGAACAGCAGATGAGTTGTGTGACCAGTGGATAATAGCTCTCACCAGTTATCTGTTACCAGTGTACAACCTGGAGTGCAGCTAGGAAGTGCAGTCTCTAGCCTTGACCTTCTTATGCTTGTATATATTTCAAGTAATTCTTGGGCTCTCTGATAGACTGTTGGGAAGGCCATAAGTCTTCTGGTTGCCTTACTCTGGATATCTRAAGTTCTTTTTTTCCTAGATGAGTCATGGTATATACTTAGGAAGGTGACAGAACAAACATTTCAAGGATATTCTTTATGCTCAGGGAGATACCAAATCATGGAAAATTATTTTCTAGGACTATTATGATTGGAGGAGGACTCTGCTRTAAGAGAACTTACTATTTCAAAATTATGACAGAAACAGACAAAAATAAAAATGCAGGCTTAGGAGAAACTGTGTGGTGCAAACCATGTTAACAACCTTAGACCTACCTGTTCATCTGGGAGTTATGGGCCCAAGGTACAGCAAAATCTTCCAGTCCCAGATTGCAGTGTTAAATCATTCTATAGAAAGTAGTATGTTCATAGAAAAATTCTCTGGGGGATTGCCAAAAGCATTTTCCACAGAGATCTTTGACTTGACATATACTACCTACTCTGTCCTCCTCTCAATTTTTTAAGTATACATTTATTTGCCCTTTTATGTGGTTTTAACTCAGATATATGTACAGTATACCAAAACACATTAAAAATAGTTTCCAAAGTGAGTTCTCAACATTTATACCAACTTAGAAGGTAAAATAAAACAGATTGAACATTCTCCATATTTTCCAAATGATAGTTGGGTATGAAAAAAATAAACATCTATAGTGTAACTGATCTTGCATGAATTTGAAGGTGACATTTAAAACCAGCAGCTATGTTAGAAAAGTCAGATCAAAAGWAAGTGGCCCTGAGCTAAAAAATAAATATGATCTAGGGAAAGTARGAAAGTAAAGAGATACTGAGTGCTCACTGTGTGCCATGCTTCAAGTGCTTGTTCTGTATCTCATTTTCATAAGGGTAGGCTTATTTGCATTCACAGATCAGGAACTGAGATTTAGAGAGTCTGTTATAGTCATTAAGTGTGATAATACAGTCCTGCTTCAAAAAACAATGATTTTTGTGCCCTATTTTTACTCGCCCAGAGTTGTTTACCTTATATTATGGTATTTGTCAATTGCAGAGTTAAACAAGTAGGCTTAAAAAGGTAGCCCAGTGTAATAAGAATTGTAATGCATTCTGTTGTCATATATAAATTTAAAAAAAAATTAAAAAAAAAGGTAGCCCAGATGATTTATCACTGTCCTCACCTTGTGACTTTTCTTTCTTTAATTTTATTTTGATGATTTTGAAAAGGTAGAAAAATATGGATAATATAACAAGCACTCCTATATCTACTACCTGGAATTGACAGATTTTGAACAGATTAAACATTGTAGAGTCAGCTGATATTGTCTTTGAGTCCCTCTCTAGTCCTAGTTCCTTCCCTGTCCTGTAAGACTTGAACTTCATGGCAGTTCTGGTCAACCAGGACTAATATAATGCATATTAATAAAACCTTTTCCTCAGGCTGGGGATGTGGCTCAAGCTGTAGCACGTTCGCCTGGYATGCACAGGGTGCTGGATTCAATCCTCAGCACCACATAAAAATAAAATAAAGATGTTGTGTCCACCAAAAACTGAAAAATAAATATTAAAATAAATAAATAAATAAATAAACCTTTTCCAGAGACTTCATGGTCTCCTGAAAACATGTCTAAAGATAGCAGTTTGAGAAACTGCTTGAGTGATAGAATTTGCTCTATCTGTTAGTAATACTGATTATGGGGTAGCTATCTAGGTGGTTATGATTAGACTCAGTATTTTTTAGATTATCWTAAAAATGAGAATATTAAAGTAAAAATGTTTCTAGTATGCTTCTGAGCCCCAAGAATCCATGAACACCTGAAACGATCAGTTATTGGCACTAAGATGGCAGTAAATTTTAATAACTGCATGATAGACTCATTAGATTTGAGTRTTAAATTTATGTGCTTCCCATAATTATTTCCTATTTTGTTTTTCCATGTTTCTTTGAAGTTCTTTTCAAAAAAATATCATCTCAGGTTTCTGAAGAAAATGAGGCAAAGAGGGACATAGCTACATTTGGTCACATTTGGAAGATTAAAGTTCATATTGATGTGGGCCTTGGGTCAAAGGCAAAGGTGAACTTAGTGAAGAGGGACAAACCTGAGCTGAAATGTGCTCACCTCCTGGGAAGATTGTATGCCAAATGCTTTGGCTAAAATTTATAAAATGTTGCCTTTTTTTTTTTTAAATACTTTTATTTATTTTATGTGGTGCTGAGGATGGAACCCAGGGAGGGCCTTGCATGTGCTAGGCAAGCACTCTACCGCTGAGCCACAACCTCAGCCCCATTGCTTTCTTTTTTTTTTTAATGGAGACATTCTCCTTCCAGTCCTTAAACATCTGTAGTGTTTAATCTGAGCTAGAGCAAGGAGATTGTGGGGTTAGGCAGAACATTTAAGCTGACAGTACTGTTTACAAACATGCAATTAATTGTGTTGGCTTTTTGAATTCATCAAACTATGGTAACCTAGAGAATTACCTCTGGAAGGGAATCTAAATATTATTCTTTAAGCTCTGCTGCCACCTAGTGAATTGTACATTTCCTTTGTTGAGAATTGTACTACAAAAAGTAGAGTTTGGGGGAAGAAACCACTGATCCTCTGTGRTAAAACCCAGTTCCTTTTCCAGTCATAGGAGGGCAGCAGAGGTCCAAGTGGGTTTAAATGTTGGGTTGGGGGTTGCTTTATAGCCTGACCAGAAGTGGGCACTGTTGAGCTAGGAACAAAAGGGCCCAGAATCTTTGAATGGCCCAAGGGTTTTATTACMCAGAAAAAAACAGGTGCACATAGATCCTCAGATTTTACCTTGTTTTCTTTTCTTGTAAGTTCAAGAGCTTCCTTTTTGGTTCATTCTAGACCTTTTATTGCTTTCAACAATGAGCTCCCACTGATAATAATCTTTAAATTTTTTTGATGCGGGATCTATTTTTATTTTGTCTTTGACATTTCTACCTTATATTGAATTAGGTCCAGTCACCAAATAAGTTCTCCAAGAGGGTATTATCCTGAATTTGTAGAAAATCTTCTGAGGTAGGCACAATATTGCCTTTTTTCCAACACATTTCCCCCCTGGTTGGAAGGTGAGATTAAATTACCTTTTATTTTTAAAACCTTCAATCTTCTTTTTTTATTACTAAAAGAACACTAATTGATGGCTTTGTATTTGGTGACTGAACTCTATTTTGTATTTGGTCCATAGACTACCAAAGTGGGGAGGGGGAGAATATCAAGTAGATTTGTGTTTATGAATTGCATTGGTGTCCTAACTGCCTGCCTTACTTTCTCCTCCCTTGGAGTGGATGAATCCCATACTAGGACATCCCTTCTTTGTCTGTTGTATAGGATCCTCTGGGCTCTCATGTCCACTTYGAATACCTCTAAGGCTGCATTATCACATTGTTATAAAACTGTTCCTTCACATTCCTGTTTCTCTCCCACTGGATTCTCAAGTTTTCTGAGAGTAGGGACCTCAGGGTTTAGCACAGGACTAACAGTCCTAGTGTATGCTTGTTCAGTGAGTGTTTGGAAGTGCTATGGAAGAAAACAGTCAAGGAAATATTGATAAAAGAGGCTGTGCAGTGGGAAGCAGTTGTGATGACAAGGTGGAAGACCTGCACTGTGGATTTTGTATGGTTAATTAGTTGAAGGGACATAAGCTTGTCTCTGTGCCTTGGTTTCCCTATTTACACAGGTGTGTGGCCTGACTAGTAATCAAAGCCTCTTCGAGCAACTAACCTTCCATTATATAATTTGTGATGATCCCTGTTGTGTTTGAGGAGGATAGTGCTGTTTTTGTGGATCGTAAGTTGGGCTTTGCTTTTGTTTTTCCTTCAGTTGTTGCTTTTATTCTTATTTCCAGATTTCCACCATCTGTTCACAGAATGTGAAATGTTAAAGTTCACAACAAAATGCACACTTTCTATATAAGGCCTTATATAAAATTAAATAACATTTGTAAAATGTCTTAACATTGATTACATTACCAAGTTTGTAGGTTCACATGCCTTCCACATGTAATTTTTCTTACGTTAACACATTTGATTTTTACCCCCCACGCGGAGGAGAGGAGGTAGACAGATAGTAGTAAATAGTATTCCAATTTTACACCTGAACTAATTAAACCTCGGTGGAATTTAAGTTGACTTTCTCTGGCTGTGGAACTAATAAGTGACTGTGCATGAACTTGATAGTGGACATTTGGTCTCTAAACTTTTATATTATTTGCTTTCTGTTAGGTTCAAGGACTTTGGATTGATGACTGTATACATCTTCTCATTAGAAGGTTTTCATTAAAAATATTAAGCTTGCTTAATTTTAAAAAAGTATTTATTTTTTAGTTGTAGTTGGACACAGTACCTTTATTTTTTGTTTACTTGTATGTGGTTCTGAGGATCGAACCTAGGCTCTCACACGTGCTAGACAAGTGCTC